CTATCAGATAAGACTTTTCCCAGTTTTCTGTCAGGATCTTCTAGTTCTTGCAACATAACTTCAGTTGGCCTGAGAATATATTTTTCTTCTGAAAAGTTCTTGCTATGGTTTTGTAACTAAAAGGCACATGTGTCCACAATAGATATTTTGTTTGTGTGTGAGACATGCATAAAGTCAGCAAGTGTAAACAAGTCATTAAACAAATACTGCAAATGTTACATTTTCATAAATACATCTCTGTTTGTTAATCACTATGGATAGTTATCCTTGGTTAGGTTTGACCATTTTTCATCCCTCATACACGCTTTGATAAGAAGTGCAACCAAAAGAAATCTACAATGGATTACATGCTTGGACAAGAACATGAGGATAAAACAAGATTAAAATGCATTAATACAGAAGCCCACTGATTATGAACTTTACACAGATGGCTCAAAATAAATTATACTGTTAACATTTTACTCAGTCTTTAAAAAGTAATCTTTATTTCTCCTTGAGAAGTAACTACTTTAATAATCATAATATTTTCTGCTTAGTAGAAAGTTTCTTCCAGCCTAAAAGAACAATGTAATTTTCATTTCTTCTTCAAATACGTAGTGCTACAAGAACCTGCCTTATGAATTAAAACAAGCATATGACCTTTTCCAAAAGCAAATGGGAGTGTAAAGCATTTATACTAGTAGTCAGTGAATGAGCAAAGGAGTCACCGGAAACCAAAAACATACCACATTCACTATTACACATGCTAGGATTGGAGATTCAGCCACACATCCTCATTACCATATTAGAGGAGTTCACCAACAACTGCAACCATCTCTTCAGCTCTCCTGCAACCTTTGCTGTTGCACAACTGGAAAGTGAGGGGCCCTGAAGCTAAACAACTGTTTCTCTTCATGAATGAATTTCTAAGGCCATCCTTGAAATGTGACAAATCTTCTGCCTTCTGATGTATCTGAAGCATTATTTTTATTCTTCACCTGGTGGTCAAATTAAGGACTTACCAGAGTTTACACAGGCAAAGACAGGAAAAGATATCCAGTCTTTTCTAAGAAAGATAAGGCTGACAGAAGCACATATTCCAACATATACTAAAAGACAGAGATGGTCTCTTAGAGCTACTCTTAAAACAAGGAGCAAGTTTTTATGGTTTCTCCAAGCACAGGAATCAGGTACATCAACAGATGGACTTCATGATCTCCAGATGAAAAGTGTGTGCTTCTGCTCAGTGAGGGTGCGATGAAAACATTTTCAGTGGTAAGAATCTGGACTATCTGCATCACTTTCTGTGAGCAAAATGCAGAATCTCACTGTAAAATCCTCACTGTAATGTCAGTAAGAAGGTAATTTGTTCCCATCACTGAAATGAAGGGTGACCCACCTGATTGTCTCTGGAACAATCCAACACACAGCAGTTGCTACTTTTTTCTGCATATAAGCATAAGGAATAACAAGTTTGAATAACAGGAGGCAAGGCTCATGATCTAAGTTACTTTTGGCTATGCTAATTACCTATTTCAGCACTTAAGTTCATAGTCTCTCCCAAAGTAGGAAGCAGTAACTACTATAAAGACCTGCATTTTCATGCCTGAGACCCACTGTGTCCCTAATGCAGTTAGAATAGTCTGTGGCCTTGACTAGCCACAAGGGGAACAGCACTGGGCTGAGGAGTTCACAACCTTGTCACACCATTTCAAGTCAAACATCAGCCTGACACATTTGGCATTTACAAGCAACAACTTGCCCTAAAAAGATACATTTAAACTATGACTGATTTATAATGCTGTATGAATGAAAATGTGGCTGTATATTTGATCCACCTTTTCATAATTTCACAAACATTTATTTTCTACTGAAACAAATCCTAAAAATTGCTTTATTCTGTAATCATAATTTAACACGATTACAAAATAAAGTCCTGCTTTAACAGCAGTCCACTTGTTTCAAACAGCTCCCCTGTCTAAGCAGGTATTATCTGTTTTAGAACAAAGTATCTATGACTAAAACTAAAAAAAATACAAATCATTCTTCCATGAGGTAGTTTATCCTTCTTCTTCACCCTTCCCTTCCACAGATGCTATCCATGATACTCAGATGTATAGCTTATTTTGTTCTTAAACAATAACACAAAAATAACTTGTTTCAATAGCAACTAGTAAAACAGTAAGTTAACAAACACAGTTTTTCTTCCCTTTTCCACTTTTTTTTTTGCAGGACATCTTCCTGTGCTACTAACCATTGAACAAGTTAGTCCAACTATTCATAGCTAATTCCAAAAGAAACACTTTGGAATTGATCTAAGAGAAGTGGCTTAAATTCATAGTCATGAGCTGTACACATGGAAGAGCTAGAGTTGTGTACATGGGTTATTTTTGCATTTACCACTATATGAACACTAAGACTTCACCTCCTTTTTCTTCGAAGGAAGTATTAAATGGCATTTTAACACAGAATTTAGTTCTATGCAAAGACTTTTTCCTATAAGACTATTAGTAAAGAGCCAGCAGATAGTGTCAAGCTGACAATATTCTTAATTAAATACTTTTCACAAGTGAGATAAAACAAAAAAAAGCGCCACCAACTTACACAATATTTATACTGAAGAATTCAGCTTGGAATTTTAGGTTGGCAAAACTAAGACAAAATACCAATGAAGTAATACATGAAATTTCTTTAATACAACTTATGAGGATTAAGGAATCACTTCCTTCACTATATTTTCCTACGTTCAAAAGAGCAGTAAAGAATTCCACTGAAGGCTCAGTAACACACGTAAGCTGCTTCTATAACAGCTATAGATTTAGTTTTCAGGTTTATAAAAATGAATTTAAGATAACTTCACTTAAAAGTGAATTCACTTCGAGCACCAGGTACTGTTTATTTCCATTTTCAAAAATACAGAGCTAGGCAATTAATATATCTTAAAATAAAAGGGTGTTACAAAGTATTAATGCGTTCCAAGAGCATATGCCAACAATATTGTACTATGTTAGAATGAAAATGAAAATATTATTGTTAAGATAAATCCTAGTTTTCATTGCAGCCTTCTGCTACAGATATTAGAGGAACCATGAAAAATTCCCTTTCTGTAACTGTTCAAACTCTTGTTTGTTTTGTATCCCTGTAAATCTACCACCCTTCCTTTCAGCAACTATCAAAGTTGTCTTTCAATGGAGCACACTCTTGCACTGAAAAGATTAGGATAAGTAAAATGAGGTCTTGCCCAGAGTTTTTCACAGGTTTCCTGCATGACTTCACATGAAGTCACAAACATATCTGTTCCACAGGAACCTCCTCAGTAAATAAAATTGCCATGTGCTGCACACTGGGGTGGGGCAGGTCTACATTAATTTCTGCCACTTACTGAAACTTTTTGAAAGTCATTAGGTAATCATGAAACATTGGTTTGCTACTTAAACATAAAACTTCCCAACATTATCAGCTAACTATTTTGTAATAGTATTGATAAACACTGCTATCTTCACAGGTAAAAGGATCCTATAGCAACAGGGCACCTCCCACTGGAGCAGTATGGCAGTACCTACCAACAAAAATAAACCATGCAGAAGTATTTTCCACTCCTTTCTCTCCTCTGACACCTTTTCAGTTTCTAATTTATAGAAGCTGAAAACATACATGGCTGTTAATGTGCTTCCCAGTAGCTACATACTTCTAGCAAAGATTCAGCCCTCGTGCCTGCTACCTACTTCTGTTTCCATGACTCATCTCCAGCTTTCCAGAGGAAAGCAAGTTCCTACTGAGCAACATACATTTAGCGATCTTTTACACACTCACAAGCAAAACTGAAAGATCTGGCCTAAAAATTCACCAAGCTTAAAGTAGTGATTAAGCCTACACAAACACAGATGCAAGTATAACAGGAAACTAGTGCAGAACAGCAATGCTATATTCTGGTTTACAAGTGTAAGATCCATGTAAGCCTGTTAAGACAGATTTCAAAACATTAGTTTATATATAGGACTGTAAGAACTGCACAGTTCAAAATATCCAGCCTTCCACAACTGCAAGCAAATGTGTAAATTATATGCATGTAAGGCCTACAACATCCTACCTGTCCTATGTGCCCTAAAATACTAATCTAATGCCTAGAGGTTTAAAAGGCCAAGAAAATACATATATATATATACACACACATATACATACATAAAGTTAAAATGCAGCACAAGCAGATAGTCAGGAAGTTCAAATGCATTATCAATGTCCCTACACCAAAAGAGAAATTGTTAAGTATTCAGAATGCACTGTGACTACATTTACATACTATTAGAGAAGATAGAATGCACAAGTGCCATGACCAGAAATGTGATTTGGGACAGAATTTCCTCCTAATGATAAATCTCACAATTAGTGAACACTCAGGCAAAAACCCCACCAGCAACACAAGAAGTTTTTCAATGTTGCCGATAACATAATCTCAACCTTGCCAAAGTCCTATCTTTGGCTGCAGCCTATAAAGAGCATTTCAGAATGAGACACAAACCACAGAGTCCAGTTGTGCAATGGGTGAAAGTCCTCCTTCTGACCCAGTAGGTGACCAGTAGAAACCCCAAAGCCTAAGGCTGAAGGGAACCCAAACCTTATACAACCCTACAAATGGTATTTTTCTTCCCAGTTCCCACAAATGTAACACATCTTTGAGATATTTTTGAACATTTACTCTTATCTCAGCAGAATAGAAGGTTACATTAGCACCACTTCAGCTTTACCTGTTCCATTTCTTTGATACATCCTTCAATTCTTTTAGACATAAAATTAAGTACAATGTATTATCCCAAAAGAGGACTGAGGTGCTGACTCTTTGCCAGCTATACTACAGTCCTCTCCAATTCTCCACTGATTGAGCGATTCTTCATAGCAAGAAGCTTCTTACACAGCTTCTTTGATGATGTTCCCTCTAGGCTAAAACAGGCTCCACACCAATTTAACCTCTGCTTTCCTATAGGAAGGGCAACATATCCATGAGAGAAGAAAGACTGACTTACAGTGAGTAGGTAGGCTCAGTGCCAACCAGGAAAAATCTAAGTCTCCTCTTCTTTTACAGAAGTGAAAGTATGAGCAATTCCATTAGGCAAGATGTGGCAAGCTCACATGAGTCTTGTATTGGATCTGAAAAACAAGCAAAAATCAGATGAGAAATACACTTCCTGCTGCATTGTCCTTTCATACCTCAGAAGCACGAGGGAGATAAGTACAATATATGAATATCTGAAAAATTTTCTACCTAGTTTTTTATGCGTTCCACCATCCCAAAATATTTCCCTAAAATACAACAACATCTACGGCTTTCTGAAAGATTCGTATTAGAAGTCCGGGTTAGCCACATTCTCCCATACAAGTAAGCAACCTGAGTTTTAGTCTAATAACACACTAACAGATCAATGCATTTTGTAACAGAAATCTTTCTTGCTCCAAGGATCCAGAACTCTGCACACATGTGTAACTCTACTGAGGCTGTGGGGAACTCACCCAAACATCTTGTCAGCACAAAACAAGAAAGAAGAATCCTACATAGAAATAGATGCCAGGGTACTTACTACTCTTTGACAAACTTGTTGCTTTGAAGCAACTAACACACAGTTTTGACTGTTAGTCAAATGCACTTTTTCTGAAGACAATCCAATTTTACAGTTTTAGCAGCCTGCAGGACTTCTCTGTATAACGTGAACACTACCAAAAAGAAACTGCTTATGACACACTTTAATGTGCTTAGTTTGAGCTAAAAAGGAACAATGGTTTAGGCTGCCTTTATACTCATAGAATGTATGGGTAACCTTTCCAATTATTAGATTTGAGTTGCTATTGTACTGAGTCAGTTCCCATATCAGCATGATGATAATCTTTCCAAAAGTCTACAAGCAATCAACACCAGACAAGCCAGTGTCTGGGTACCATACACAATTTATAAAACCTAGCATATCATTAAGCTTCCTCTGATGCTTTCCTGATCTTTCTTAAAAATCAATATGAGAAACAGAATTCCCAAAGTTATTTGTGATAACAGTTTTGAATCTAGATTACTGTTACAATTTAATTTTTTCCTTAGCTATTATTTCTACATGCTGTCATAGACTACAGCTTTATTTCAGGAATGAAAATAAATTCTTCTGCCTTTCTTGTATTGACATCACTACCCTTATTTACCATTATTCTTACAGTGTTAGCATATTTTCCAAGGGAAAAAGATTTCCTGTTTTCAACTCGCAGTTTTAAGAAATACTTTTGCCTTCTCCTATTGGTTGTCTACATTTAATATTTTCTAATTTCACATTTACAGTCAATGCCTTGGTTCTTCTATTTGTTAAGTTCCTAAAATGCCACCATCCCCAGCTGGTTTGGAGACTAAATTTGTGATTTAACTTTAGGATTATTTAGCACATGAACTTGTGCATTTTTAATAGTCCAAATATTAAGGGTGGACGTTTTTTAAACTAGAGTAAGAAAGAGCAATTGATGTATTAATTTTGATATTTTAGTTTAATCTAAGGTTCTTTCATTTTTACAACCTTTTAATATTAGAGTCCTAAAATAGCTATTAATATAAGAGCCTATTGACATTTTAGCCTGTAGGAGCACGCAGTGGGCAGAGGCAGCTGAAATAATAACATATTTGAGTGATGAACAAGCTTTATGGTTTTATTACTCAGACTCTTCCAAATCTATGGCTGGCATTTTTCCCAGTAACTCAAAAATTAAACTGTTCTACATCTGAAACTTCCAACAAATCATATATTAAAAACATCTCATGGTTAAGGCAACAGATTAACCTTATAAAAAGCCTTTGGGGAAAAAAAAAAACAAAACGACTAGATCTGAAGAATAGCACCTTTAATTCTCTGTGCTATTTGCATCAACAACGTAAAAGAAACAGGAAAAATAATTTGATATATATATTACAAATAATTATCTTAGTTATTAGGTGTATATTACATATCATACTGAAGTAACAGGGACCCTAAAAGGACACTAAAGGAAAATGACAGATGTAAGGAAACACAACCTAAGCATCCCCCACTGGGCACATGATGCCATCAGCAGGTCTGTGCTAACTTCCAAAACAAGTGATAGCCTAATGAATACATATCCCCCAAACCCCAAGAAAAATAACTGAGCTTTTTATCACAGCCCACAAGGTCAGACCTTATGCAACAACTCCATGGGTCAAGGGACAGGACAGGAGACTTGCCATTTCCACCATTTCAATCTCAAAGCCTTTATTTAGCTACGAGTCACCCAAAACAAGATCTAGAATTTTCCACTTTATTATGCAGCGCCCTTTGTAAGACTTCAATATTGTCTTCAGCAGAATTCACAAACTGCGCACCACTCAGGACAAGCCAAATGCAGGAGCCTGAAGTCTGAATAATGTTTCTAATGGTGTCTTAGAAGTCTCAGATATCTGTTGATGTATCAACCACTCAGTCACTCCTCAAAGACAACTGATGACTTTGTTGTTTCACAATCTTTCCACATTTTTGCACACACAGTGAGTTTTCCTTCTTCCAGAATGAAATTTTCTCCACAATTTGCTGGTCCAAAAAAAGTCCCATGTTCCCAGTTTCTCCCCAAAACATTGTACAGAAGTGATCTATTCTGACAGTGAGCATTGAGAAGCAGTCATGTGATATTGTTTCTGAATATTTTGCAATACAGGTACACATTTTCTAAAATCATTTGGGGAATACAGATCAGCTTAACTGCACTGTTGATTGATTTATAACTTCTTTTGTGTCTGTGTAATGAAAAATAATCTGCACTTGTACCGACATACTCAAAAACAGTAGACATTAGAAGAATTCTAGAGCCTGATGCACTGGAATAGAAGGATAAATTGAACAATAAACATATCTCACAGTGGGTGACTACAGCTCATGTGAGCATCATAGAGGGATGTCATTTAATCCAGAACTGAGAAAATTAATTATTTGGTACCCAAGGAAAAAAAAATAATGAACATGCAGTAACTGACCTTTTAATAACTTTATAGCAGTTAATTAGGCTGGTTTGTACTGTATTAGTCCTAAAGAAGCTACAAATTTCTGGAAGAGCCTACCAGGAGTGTAACAAAGACCTAATCTCGCAATTTGGTTTAAGTCTGCATCAAACGCAGCTGGGGCCTTGGGGAGGAACCACCCACTTCTCTCCCTTCTCAAAGTTAGCAATTTATTTCTACAGTAACTTCCACTAAAACCAGTAGCAACGTGACTACGTAGTGAAATGAGTGGAAAATTAATAAAATTAATAACTAAAGAGGAAAAAAGCCAAATTTTTAGCAATAGTGTTTTCAGAGTCATTTCACTGCATTAACATGCTGCAAGAATAAAGATGATGAAAAGAACAAACCAGGCAGCTGCCAATAGGATAGGGTAGAGCAGAACTACCCATTTTGAAAGCAACACAGGATTATGGTGGTTTACACTGAAAATGGAACTAGGAACAAAGCAGCATGGACTAGCAAGAAAGCAAGTAACTTGTCCAAAACAGCATGCAACAGACACACCTTCTAAAAAGCAGAGTTTGATGAATGTAAGCAAAAGCTAACAGTAATGTCAAGTCTGACTGAAACCAAACATTAAAATCTTACAGTTTGCATGATGGATGAGCTAGTCTCAAGTGTTATTATGCAGTGCTAGCTTTAATTGCTCCGAGGTAAATATAGCTTTCAGAATTTAGCAGCTCCCTCTCAGCTTTTCTGTCTTTCAAGGAGGGAAAAAACCTTTTCGTTAATAAAGGCACACAGGCATACACAGTGGCATGTTACTACAGCAAAGCAGGAAGCAAACCATTATGATGATTACATTAGAGTCTCCAACACTCATTGAGAACTCCTGTTTTTCAAGACACCAACTGCTTCCCTATTCCACTACTCTGGTTCCAGTCACAGCAGGCGATGGAAGCATGCATACCTGCACCTTTTCAAACTAAGTCATTTTGTTGCTTTATTACCAGACTGTAAATCTTGCTTGCCCCATGCTTCCAGTCAAGATGTTGACTTTACCGGCAAACTGCCCTGGTACCCACACACTTCTTGCTGTGCCACCCAGATAGGCACCACCGGGGAGGAAGAGGAGGAGCAAGACTGCACGCACATGCAGCTTGACTCTTTCCTGCAACCATTGTACTGGCATAACATACACGAGGTGGTCCAAAATCTGCTATGGCAGCAGAGACTGCAGCACTCTGATAAAGGCATGAAATAAATTCTCTCTTCTGCCTTCTTATACCCAATAAGGATTTCAAAAAGTTTAAGAAAGAGTTCTATATGGCAGGCTTCATTTTCCCTCTCTGAGCTGATAAGGGGTTTCAAGCAGAAAATTTGGCTGACAGCTAGAAGTGCGTTCTACAGATTCAGCATTCCTGTTCACCTTCATTTTAGAGGTCATTATGTAATTAAAGCACTACAATTTATCTACAATTCATGGAATTAAATTAAAAGAAAAAGTAGCCACTGCTGCAATAAGTCGTCTTTTCACTTCCCCTCAGGCCATAACTCCAAACTCTCTTCCCTCCCCCAAAACCCATGACCTGGCCCTCTACCTATTTTCTCTCTGGCTTCATCCATCCTCTTCTCTTTTCTTTACTGAGCTGAACTCTTAAAAGTTAAGAGGTATGATCTCCTTCACCCCTGTCTTTGGCAAGTGGGGAAAAGAAGAGTAATGCTACTTATGGAAAAGAAAATACTTATCAGATCATATGAATTACCAAATGCAACATTACCTGGCCCATCTCTTCAGCTGTAAGGCTCCAGAGGTCTGACTGTGTTAGAGCTGTGCATGCACTACACGAGGACCAACTGGAGGGTTGCCAAGAAGTACCTACTACACTAAAAAAGACCAAAGGTAGTACACCACAACTCTGCTCTCTGACCCACCATTTCTGAGGTGCAGATCAGCCTGGAGAAAACAGGTCAAAGGAACTATGTCTGTTTGTTGCTTACGAGAGATTTTAAAGCAAGCCTCCTGACATGCATGTTCTGCATGGGGACATCCATACTCTACTGCTAGCTGAGCTGCCCCACAACAGAAAGGCTCCCTACAGTCAGTGCAGGCACAGACTTCATTTACCAACTTCTGATAAAGCACAAAATCATTACAGTCATTGCCATTAAG